ACCCAGTAGCTTCCCCCTTGACCTAAGCCCATTTCCACCTCCCTCCCACTTTTCCACCACCCCTTGTCCATATCCTTCTCCTGTTTCCAACGCCCACCTTCATCCTTACTCCTTCCCGTTATGTGTTATGTTTTGTTGGTGTCACTGGGTTACAATTTTTAAGGGGGTATTCCCAATCTTTTGCCTTTTTTCGGCCTGTTTTTCAATTAATTTTTTTTTTCAAGGAAAATGAATAGTAATGCGCCTAACTCTTTGGGATTCTTGTTTATTGAACATTAAAGTTTACAAATAAATTTTTTTCGACATAAAAAAAGACATTATTGACGTCACAAAATGGTGGCAAACAGACCCCTGTTCGCCGCAAACGCCTGGACGGGCGAAGACTTTTCTCTGGAACGGCTTCATCTGAAACAGATTTCGTGATGAAATTATAATCTGCATAAGATTCTCTGGAGCTTCTCCCGTTGGCAGCAAAAAATCTTGCAAATTAACAAAATGGCGGCCATATGAAAAAACAGGCGATTTTTAGCCCGCTTTTTTGCAGCTTTAAGGTGCTTCAAACAATGTTAAATGTTAATATTTTTGGCTGAAAGTGGGAGAAGCTCCAAAGAATTTAATAAGGAACAAAATGCGCAAAGATTCAAGTCAATATCTCTTATAGTTTCTGAGAAAAATCTTCGCCCGATAAAAAAAATGTGGTTTCGAGAAAAACGCGTTTAAAGTTTTGACTTTAGTTAAAACCATTTGGGGGTTCTTACCATTAGTCAGCTATGCCTGGACACCGAATTCGCTGATCGGAAAACGGCTTGGGGGGATGAAAGTATATAGTCTAAAGTACAAAAAAACGTGAAAAAAAAAATTTGATTTTTTGAAAAAAAAGATCGGGAATACCCCCTTAATTGGACCGTTGGTTTGGGAGTACATATATTTACTTACATTCAAAACAAGAGAATATTGCATACAAGAAATTGACATACAGATTGAATTCACAATAAATACACATATACCCTATTCCTCGCTTTCGCTATCACCTGATTTTTCTCGCTCGAAGTGAACCAATAGAGTACAGGAACCAAAACGGTAACACAACCGGTGGAAACTAACGATTTGAAATTGGCTCACTACTTGAGTAGTCTATTGGTCCCAAGCAAATCGATTAAGTCAAAATTATAGTACTGTTTTGTATACACGGTAAGAAAAAAGTACCCAACGGAAAGTTTACTTTTACCTATTTTTGACTAGTTTGTCTCCTTTTCTCCTTCTAATGTTGTCAAAAACGGAGGAGCAAAACCACCCAACAGGGGTAGTAAAGTGTGGGAACCCAACGTTGAGTATAATCATATTTACCTACTGTTGGGTACAACTAACATACTTTTCGTTAAAAAGCCAGTGTAAAATTCCATACGAACTGCACATAAGTAAATGAAAATTACTTTGACCCGCTTTACCTACTTTTGGGTTCCTGCACTATAGTGCCGAGATGAGTGAAAAGAACTTAATTTTGGGTACTTTTTTCTAACCGTGTAGTATGTTTTGATTCGCTATGAAAGTTTGAAAGATAAAATGAGGGTTCATGGATTTTCCTATATTTCGAGGGGTGCATCGATTAGCTTGGGACCGAAGATAGTATCAGAGCTGAGCCAAAAAGTTGATGATGAGAATGATTTCAGTGCCGTCCAGCGCTCTTGTGAGAGCATCGCGAGTAAGTTGCGTCATACGGCTGACCAGGGCCCCTTCTCCAATATTCATTGACGTTTTTTTGAAGAATAAACATTATGTTTCTTCGGGACCTACTGGTCTTTTTTTTTATACAGGGAGGAATCTGCTCCCAGACACCTGAGAAGATAACTCAGGGTGTAGGGATGGGAGAAGTAGCTCTCCCGACCCACTAAACCTTACCCTGTGCTCTAGGCCCTTGCCCTCCCCGGAACCGCCCGAAAGCATTACGTCATGGGAGGGGGCCGGTTGCGCTATGGCGCATCACTAGGTGTTGTGTCCGACGTGACACTCGCTACTGCACAGTGAGCAGCTGTGCAGGGCCTTCCTCTTGTTGTTCGCCTGAGTTCTAGAGCAGACGTGATAGCCAGCCAACTGTCCAGGACCCATACAGGACAGATGTGACCGCTTACCAGCTGCGTGTGCTAAGCACTCTAAGAACCCGGCGTCACTCCTGCCTTTGCACAACGAGGGTTTGTGCAGGGCTTCTCAACCTCCTCTTGTTGTTCGCCTCGGTTCTAAGCAGACTTGATAGCCAGCCAACTGTCCAACAGGGTAGCTTAGGACAGATGTGACCGCTTACCAGCTGCGTGTGCTAAGCACTAAGAACCCGGCGTCACTCCTGCCTTTGCACAACGAGGGTTTGTGCAGGGCTTCTCTGGGGTAGTTCGTTTAGCCGCAATATCTCTCCCTTGGGTTCGATAATTAGCGTTTCCAGGGCACACCACGATGAGGCGAACTACTTCATGCCCCGGACCTTCTGGTCTTAGAGCTACCTCTATGATTATATCCTTCGGAGTGTTGGAACACCCTCCAAAGGCGCGCCCCTGTGTCAGTCAAAACCGGATTCCTTCGCATTAAAATCAAACAATAATAGCGATAATCAGCATCCTAGTCTTAATCTCTTCAAACTAGAGAACAGCGAATAAAAGATTAGGAATCACGTAGTTGAAAAATAATTACCTAACTCATTTTTTTAAGACCATCCTCGGTGGGCAATGCTAAGTCAGGACTAAGATGTGCTCCTTTTCAATGGCTTTAATGCCATATTCATAATCAATTCGGTTGAAAATATATAGTTAATCTTTACTCGATATCTATCCATTGCGAGCATATTTTGGTAATTGTTTATGTTTCGAAAGTTTGTAGGTAGGTAGATTGAGGTTAAGGAAACGCCACTGGTTCCTTTGATTACAAAAACAGTCCTGTTCCCCTAGCTTGAAGTAGTTCGGATTAGGCTTCGGTGGTAGATCTTAATACCAGAAACGCACCACGAAAAGGTAATCTACCCTCCGTTACTGGACGTGTATAACGGGTGATAACAAAAAAGGAAAATTTTTAATTTAGGCTCATGAAAAAACACATGTTTGAGAAAAGAAAAAGTGATTTATTTCAAATGAAGCTACGACACGTATCAAAAAATCAATGAACATTTGAATAAGATCCGTTCTCAGATGTTTGACGTAGCTTTGTCATTATGTGAGACCATGAGCATTGTACAGCATTTAAATCGATTTTACGAATGCAAGTTTTGATTCTGTTTATCAGCTGGTTACAATTCTTGGCCCTCCAATTGTTTTTGTACACCAACTAAATCATATTTCCAATAAAAATCTTCAATTGCGTGACATTGAGGCAAGTTTGGCCAAAACTAGAGTAAGAAGATTGAACATAATTTAGATATTGATTAAGACTGTTTGTCAGATGATTTACTAAACAATAAATAAATAAGCACGTAGTTTCCGTCTGCTTGATATTTTTGAAGAAATGGAATCAATATTTTCTTCAAACATTGATTTTGGTATATTTCTTGGTAGATAGCCAAACCGCTAGGATTGAACCAAGACTTAGAACTTCCTCTCTTCGATATGGCGATAAACAGCATTACTTTCTGTTCAAACTTGTGTTTGAACTTGCATCTTACATTTGGAGATACTGTACAACTGAATAATATCGATCTTTTCCAGGAATGTGAGATTTTGAGAGAGGAGAGTAACTTTCATCATCCAAAACGAGACTGGCTGGTTTTCCACTACCTTTCTTCCGAACTGTTGTCAAGGATGCCAGAATACGATAAACAGTAGAAATTGGTTCATTTTCTGATTTGAAATGATCCACTGTAAACTTTTCCCACTATTTTCGTGTGTTTTGAACAACTATACAATGCGCTCCCGAAGTGCTTCTTGATTTGATGTCATTTTGAACACAAATGAGCATGTAAAAACAAAATAAAAAAAAATCATTTCATTTCTAGATCAACAATTGAAATAGGCGGAACAACCAAACGTAAACAATGGCTTTAAACGCAAATTCCTCGAGAATCAAAACACTCCGTTTGGTTTTTATTTCAATTGTTGGTCTAGATTTGTGGTTTGGTATGAGAGAGTTGAAGCTCTTCTAATTTTTTAGTTACCACCCGTTAGTATTAATTTGATTTCAAATACGTTAGTATTAATTTAATTCCATATAACATTTGTACCACACACTTAGAAAAATTGATGTAAATTTAGGTGCTCCGAGACTGACATATACGAGCGTCAATTTTGACATAAAATTGAGTCATAATAGAAGCAACAATCAGCTCAATCAAACGTACTTTTGAACTTTTCAGTCTCGGAGCACTTAATTTTACATGACATGTTTGTTTACGTCTCATCCTTTATGTCAAAGATGGATTCCGTCACGTGTAAAATTAGTTATTTCTAAGTGTGCAACTTTGGGCGTACAACAAGAAATAATCAATAGTGACGGGGTAATTTCATTTCAGGGTATGATTGCGTTTTCCTATAACTTGAGTAGGAGTATCAGACTTTTGATATTTTGTCATCAGAAAGCTAGAATTGACTATAGTGGGCAAAAGTTCGGGTCGTGTCCCAAACCCAGCGTTTCTCAATCTATGGGGAATTTTGTATTTTTCAAGCCGATGCAATGTCAATCTGTTGTTTCAGGTAATCATATCTAATCACATTATAGCGGTTCAAAATATTGATTTTGCTCCATCAAGCTTAATCGATTTCAAATCAGGTTCTGGTAATTCCATTTGAATTCGTTTCCGGGCGCCAAATCAGTTTTTCTGGTGTTTTATTAGCTGCTATCATGTATTTAGGAAAGAATCGGGCAAAAATGACCTCACATCACCAATCGATTTTTGTATTTTTTAATTAGGTATAGGTATCTTGTATTGAATATAAGCCTTCATGCGCCATGTGATTAAGTGCGATTACGAGTTCATTTTTTCCCACTGTGCATGGTTTGGTCTGTGATATTAATGGAGTTTTAGCATCTTCGGTTTCCACTGCCATTTATTTCACTCCATTCAATTTCGTTTCCCCTGTTTGTATCTGTTCATTATGGAAAATAAGTGACAAAAACTATCATCGAAAGCTCTAAAAATAATTAACATGCTACACAAACTATTTGCAGTAAAAGTAACACCCACAGATGTTAAGAAATGCTTCGGAATAAAAACTAAAAAATTTAAACTCAACAGAAATCATATTCACTTTGTAGAAATTCTAAAGTAAAAATGTACTTCTATCCCTCTATCCATTTCGCTTTCTTCTTGTCAAACGTTCGGTCTACGTGCCTTCTCATTTGATAGTGCTATTAAGTTGTACATAATGCCTACATCACATCGTAGTCTGCTACATGTTTCCTTTTTCTGGTTTGTATTAAATACAGTACTGCAATCTAGTGTTCGTTAACATCGATACTTCTTGTAGAGGTATTTATTTATTCCATTACACGGTTTCGTCGGTTGCATTCAACATTGCTCCGGAACATACAAGTAGCGAGGGAGCGAACCCAGTAAGCCGACTAAGCCGCAGCCTTTATGTCGACTTTCCCATACAACAGTGACTAACAAAAATGTAAGCGGAGTGTTCTCTGCTTCAACTACTTGCTACTACAGTGCGGCACATGAATACATATTTTCCCATTGAAAGCGTGCTTTGCTTGTTACCTTTCATCGAAGTTGGTAAATATTTCTAACGGATAAAGTTTTCGTTGGACAGTTTGTCTGTTTGTTAAGCATCCGGTTGCAGATTCCATCAAGCTGAGCAATTATACCCTACTGGACACGATTGACCAATCAACATGAATTCTTATGTGTATGTATATCTGGTTAGAAATATTCTCCTGGTGTCTAAAAAACATCTAATTATGAGCTAAGCTGACGATGAATCCCTTCGCTGCCAGTACCCCTCGGCATTTGATGTGCACCTGGTAACGGGTGGTCCAAGCGGCACGGTAGGCGCTCAGCTCCAGATCGTCCAGCATCAGGCGAGGCAAGAGTTCTAAAATAAACAATAGATAACAATTTATAATTATCTTTTAATGTTCCGAGAAACACTGTACTAACGTGCAATATATTAGTCGCTTGGATTAGGGTATAGGAGAATAACTAAAAGTACACTACTAAACATACCTTGTGGATCACTGTGCGTCAACAGTTGAATCTCGTTCTGGCTACAGTATTCTTGTAACTGCGGTGGCACCACACAGCACGCAGCCAGATTGATCTGCGTGATCGTCGGATGTACCGTGGAGCCTTCGAACAAATCTGTCAACGAGTCCACATCCAAATCCGCAATGCCAAGCTGTCCGATTTTCTTATCCGTGGCATACTTCTCCAGAATGCTCCACAGTTTCCTCAGATTGCCCACAGCATTGTCGCTTCCCACTGCCCACTCAATAATGCCCTCCTTCACTTCGCCGTTGGTTTCTCCTCCGGCACTGCTCTCTACCGCCCGCGGATGGAAAGCCAAAATTAGATTGTCCAAGTAGGAAACATTCAATGTTTCGAACAGTTTCTCAACAGCCTCCGTCAAACAGGTCTCTGAGTAATGGTTTAGGAAAATTTTCGCCCCGATCTTAATATCCGTACGCGTGTGTTCCTTCATCTTCTCCAACAGGTCATTGTTCTTGCGTGTCACCAGACGGGACCCACTAGACTCAACAACCTCCGCCTCCGCGAAAGTTGACCGCAGACAATCCACCAACTGTAAAGAAATAAGTAAGACAAACCGTTAGATTCGAGTCGTTCCTATTACAAAATACACTTTGGCATCGCTCCAAAGCAAGCACGCAAAGGGCGTAAAATCACAAAAAAAAACAACTACCTAGATAATATATACACATGCACCGTTCAAATAACAAAACCCTCCCAGTGCATCTGCATTCTGTTCATATTTCCATCACGCGACGACGTAGATCAATTTTCCTCTCGATTGATGAAACCGCTCCGTTGCACAGTGAGCAAGAAGTTGTTGGAACTTTGTCCAAAAACTTGAGATTTCCGATTTGAATTACAGCAAGGACCCAATTTTGTCTAAAATCTTTTCTAATATTCTACGAAACCCATGCGTTTTTTCAGCGATCTTATTGCACCAAAGTATATCTTAAACATCCATCTTGAAGATGGATGAGAGAGATTAGGACTTACGATTAGGAAATTTACAGAACGGCCTGTGAGACCTGTAAAGGTTAACATGACTAATCCTCAATATATGACTTTGAAATTTTATGAGAACCGGGTGGTTTAAGACCTTTCGAAATTTGATGCATAAAATCAATCAATCCAAACCATAAAATTAATTTTGATTAAGCTAAATTAGCGTTCAGTAGTCAATGCCGATTTTGGTCGCATCCCCCCCATTCTGCATCCACTGTTTGTGTTTTAGTGCAAAACAACAAGTTTACAAATCTACTGATTTGTTGCAACCCACCCACTCGAGCCGATGCAGAAATATTTACGGTATCCGACCCAACCGGATGGGTGGTTTAAATCAAAATGAAGCGTTTCATATTGCACGAAAGACTTTCCCGGCGGCGCGGTTGGCGATGGTGGAAAAACCCAAAATAAAAACTATCCTAATGAGATTCTAATTAACCTGAACTTCTAGCGGTCTGGATCGAATCGAGTAATCGAGAATGTCACATTTCCTATTACGAAACACTTGACTTACTGAAAATCCGAGCAAATATCAAATATCAATCAAATATATTACACATGTATACACCAATTCCATGCTCGCGATGCCGAAATCTCCTGAGGGTAGGTATGGTTGCATCCCAAAGGGAAACGATTTAATGTGACAGTAATAAACGGATCGCTATTAAAGTTTCCAACCATAGCCAATTAGTGGAGAGGAATTACACTCGGATCGATGCAGTGATGTATGTCAAATTAGTGTGCAAAACGTTTGATTCTCGGTCAGCATTTTACACGACGCGAATTATTGGGAAGGCGGAAACCGTGACAACTACACGAAACATCCTGGGAAAACTGGATGATCGACGGAAAATTCCATGCTTGAATAATGTGTATGGAAAATGATGCAATGTTCGATTCAGCGGAATGCATTCTAGATGTTGGTGATTTTTCCTTAACACCTCACACAGGGCTGGTAGTGCTGATGCGATATAATAGTAGTGACTTTAGTGACTAAAATTACGAAAATAGTGACCAAATAGAGACCAAATAGTGACTTGTGAATACTTAATAAGTAACCATTTATATGGTAGCTTAGAATTTCAAATACGGTTTGTCTTGGATCTTATAATCAAATTCCATAAATTCTTCTAATTTAATCGAATCTCACAACGGAATCTCCTGTGAAGAGCATTTGAAGTGATTTGAATAATTTACTTTTGTTTACGTTATACATGATCCCTAGCAAATAGTAATTCCCATTTTTTGTGATCTTGAATTTGATTCTGCGTTCAAAATCTTTAAATATTTGATATACCTAGGTAGATAACTTTGATAATTTGATATGAACTTTTCACTGAATTTCTTCAGAATAATCTCAAGAACTTTTTTGGAATAGTTCCCCTTCTCTTAAACTTAGAAGCAAATAAGCTTTTACAAACATAATATTGAATTCTTGAAATTCTTTGCAGAACAATCAACAAAATTCTTGGAAATAGATTATTTTCGTAGTTGGAAATGCTTAACATCAAATATCAGAATTTAAGTGGAAATTTTGTACGATAGATGAGGAGATGAAAGTTAAGAGTTTATAGTTCCGTTATAGTGTGGCAGTGTGAAAATTGTATAAAGAAAGAAGAAAGCGAACAAAGGACAATTTTGAGGAAGGTACGAATAGGGTAAATAGAACATCTCCTTTACCAAGCTCATCCGTTAATGAGGGATGTGAGGGGTGTTTCCACCTTGCCACCACTGAGGGATGATCGCCGATTTGCTCATGTACCTCTGATGTGCGGAAATAGTTCTATCGATTGTTTCACGCTCAAGTCGCCATTTTCACGCTGCCGTACTATAACGGAACTATCAACTCTATAATTGAATCTCTTAATCGATCGTTTAAAATTTCCACTATAAGTCTGATATTTGACGTTAAGCATCTCCGACTATGTAAATCGTTAAATTCACGCATGAAGTAACAACACATTATTAGTTAAAGTAGATTATTTTCGATTTTTTATTGATTCATCTAGGAACTACCTGAAGGCTTATTGAAAATCCATCCGTAGAATTTACACGCAATTAACCTCAGAAATTTCAAAAATTTCTGCTTAGAATAATCTTGGACTTCTCCCTTGCATTCAGTTGGAAATTCAATTCGTATTCTCCAATAGTATTTCCTCAGAGTTCTCAAAACAAAAATCCATCATAAATTTTGAAACTCTTCTCAGAATTCCTCAAAATTCGATTCCATTGGAATTCTTCTCGGAATTTATTTCGAACTCTTTAGAATTCTCTTGTAAGTATCGTCAGAAATCACCCCAGATCCGCAGAGACCATCTATGGAGTTATCGGGATTATCATGGAATTTTTAACAGAGCCCCTTTATGCAAAATTTCAGAACTAATTTTGAATTCTTATTAAAATTGGAACTCATCCAATCATCATAGAATTCTTCTCAGAACTCTCGTTAACAATATTACTTACTTATCCTGGTCCGAAATCCCTCAGGATTGCACCTGCATGACAATGTTACGCCAATTCACTCGGTCCGTGGCTGCTTGTCTCCAATTTCTTGACCGTCCCACGCTTCCAAGATCCTGCTCCACTTGGTCTAACCAGTGCTTGCAGGTCCTCCTCGAGCATCGTCCACAACGCGTCGAGGAGTACCTGCAAGCACTGGGTGTTTTCAGCGAGCAAGGTGGTTAGACCAAGTGGAGCAGGATCTTGGTAGTGTGGGACGGTCAAGAAATTGGAGACAAGCAGGCGTAACATTGTGATGCAGGTGCCATCCTGAGGGATGTCGGACCAGGATAAGTTAGTAAGTAATAATAAGCTTCCCTAATGTAAAATAATGTTCCCTTAACTTCTACGAAGCTCTTCAAATCTAAATAGATTTTCCACCTCTACGCAGTTTGTAGAACTTTTCCAAGTTGCTTCTTTCTCCGAATTTTTCTGAACATCTATGTAGTTCCCAGAGTTTCTTATAAATTTCCGCAATTTCTACGATGCTCCCTGAACTTCTGCCCGTAGAGAACTACCGGTCTTATCAGCGTCTTGTACATGGTACATTTAGTACGGAGGTGAAGTTTACCCGACCTCAGGGTCTTGTGGAGTCCGTAGTAAGCACGACTTTCGGCAATAATACGCCGACGAATGTCTCTGCTGCAGTTGTTATCCGACGTCACCAATGATCCGAGGTACACAAATTCATCTACCAGCTCGAACTCATCCCCGTCGATTGTCACGCTTCTGCCTATGCGAGCCCTATCCCGCTCGGTTCCTCCAGCTAACAGATACTTTGTCTTCGACGTATTCACCTTTAATCCAACCTTCTCTGCTTCACGTTTCAGCCTGGTGAACTGCTCCGCACGGCCTGAAACGTTCTTCCGACAATGTCCACGTCGTCAGCGAAGCAGATGAACTGGCTGGACTTATTGAAGATCGTGCCCCGCATGTTAAAGCCCGCACGTTTCATAACACCTTCTAGCGCAATGTTGAACAGGAGGCAGGCAAGAACATCGTCTTGCCAAAGTCCTTTGCGAGTTTCAAACGAGTCCGATAACGCACCCGATATCTTCACGCAGCACTGTACACCATCCATCGTAGCCCTGATCAGTCTGGTCAGCTTCCCGGGAAAACTGTTCTCGTGCATAATCTTCCATAGCTCTTCACGTCCAATAGTATCATAAGCGACCTTGAAATCGATGAATAGGTGGTGCGTAGGGACTTGATATTCACGACACTTTTGGAGGTTCTGCCGCAACGTAAAGATTTGGTCCTTTGTCGATCGCCCGTCCACAAAACCGGTTTGATAACTTCCCACAAATCTGCTTGCTAGCGGCGATAAACGGCTAAAGATGATCTGGGAAAGCACTTTGTAGGCCGCGTTAAGAATAGTGATCGCTCGATAGTTCTCACATTCTAGTTTTTCGCCTTTTTATATACTGGGCATATTACTCCCTCTTTCCACTCCTCCGGTAGCTGTTCTGTATCCCAGCTCCTAACTATCAGTCGGTGCATACAAGTGGCCAACTTATCCGGGCCCATTCTGATAAGTTCCGCTCTGATACCATCTTTCCCAGCGGGAGACGAACCAGCCCAGGACTGAAAGTCTCCTTCATATATATATATATATATATATATATATATATATATAAAAATCTTTCCCAGCTGCTTTGTTGTTCTTAAGCTGTCGGATAGCATCCTTAACTTCACCTAGCGTGGGAGCTGGCATGTCCCCCTCATCCACTGTACCAACGAAGCCATTCCTCCTGCCACCTCGGTCCTCCGCCTCCTCGCCGTTCAGATGTTCATCGTATTGCTGCTTCCACCTTTCAATCACCTCACGTTCGTCCGTTAAGATACTCCCTTCCTTATTCCGACACATTTCGGCTTGCGGCACAAAGCCTTGGCGGGATGCGTTGTACAACTTGCGTGTTTCTTGAGAACAATACAGCTGCTCCATTTCTTCGCACTCCAGCTCTTCCAGGTTTGGTTTCCATGGGTTTGCTGTCTTCGCTTCTGTTTATATCGCTCCACATTATGATGCGTTCCTTGCTGCAGCATCGC